ATCCTGCAGTCATTGAGGGATACTGTGATGCAAATTGGATCACCGGTTCAGCTGAATCGAAGTCCACAAGTGGATATGTATTCACTATTGGTGGAGGAGAGGTATCTTGGAAGTCGTCCAAACAAACTTGTATTGTCTGCTCTACAATGGAGGCTGAGTCCATAACCTTGGGTACTAGGAGGGGATTAAATTCCTTAAGAAAACACTGTGAATTCAGTAGGTTCGAATTGATTTCTATCTCTTTACGTTTTCTGTTTATATATATTATTCTGCTTTGTTTTTCCAGAATTAGTTTACAAATACAGTTTACTAACAATTTTCATCAAAATTTAATCAGATAATTCGAGCACAAATGAACTTGTGCCACTGAGTTCTCATATGATACGCTTTTTTTTTTTTTTTCTCTCTTTTGTGTTTTAAATTCAACAATTTCCATCACCTCCTCCTACTTTTGTTCCTTTCATCTGTTTTTTTCTTGTTTCTGAATGTTCTTGTTAGTGTTGGTATTATAGTTAACTCTTCTAATGGTATATACCTTTATTTTTTGCTACATATTTTTTAACGCTTCACTATTAAAGAAAATGTTAGAAAATGATTACACTTCATTTAATATTTTACGTTTTCTTTCAACGAGGTAAGAAGAAAAACAAAATAAAATTAATTAGAAAAATATATTAATAAGAAGAAGTAGAACGGTTTTTTTTTTCAACTCCTGATTTTCTTTAGAAATATTTTGTATTTTCTATTCATTCTTCAAAAAATTATTAGGCAAATTTGGATGGCAGAAGAATAATTGACTGCATAATCAAAGGAATATATAAATTGGACAGGAGAAAATGTTAACCGTACATGTCTTCTTCAGGGAATAGCGTTTAGGGTTCAGTGATACAAACTAAAGCTATTAATGAAATAACATTTGCGACCAACTTTTCTCAGCCAAAAAACTTTTTCTTTCTCACCAACTCCTTGATTGGATCAAGCATATTATCATAGTGGACGTTAATCCTGTTAAGCTTCATCCAAGTGTAAATGTAATTACATAGATATTTGTATACTTTTTCCAATATTGAAAATATCTAGGCTGTGTCTTATATTTGTCTCAGAAAACTGCTTAAGACCTTGATTCCATTGGCCAACAACTTAGAATTTGTTATAACTACTAATTAAAATTAGTCACAGTTTTAAAAGTAATCGAAATTTAGTCATCTTTTTGTGTAAAAATAAAATTTGAACAAAAATATACTTAAAAATCCGAAAAAATTCCATCATAATATGTTGGAGTTCGAATTTTTTACATACGAGATTCCAACATAATCTATTGAACTTCATAATGTACTGTGAAGGAAAATATTTTATTATAAATCTATAAATGATCTCTACGATTCTTTATTTCCTCCACACATAGAATAAGCTACCTATACCCTTATTTATAATAGTATGAAACCTATTTTAACTAAAATAAGGAAAGCCTATTCCTATATTAATTCTGACTACAAATCCTATTTAGGCATGAATTAAATAAACTAGTACATATCAAATCCTAAACAATTTAGGTTTCCTACTACAACTTTGAATTAGTTTATCAATATATTGGAGTTCCAACATAATATGCTGCAAATTTATATGCAGGAGCTCCATAATCCAGCATATTATTCTGAAACTTTCTGTGTTTTGGCTAGGATATTTTTGTCCATATTTTAGTGAATAGTTTTCAATAATTTGCAAATACCGACTATTTCTCAATTATCAGTTCAAAAACTGGTTAGCCTATTTTCACGAATTTGTGTTTATAGGCCCATGAAGGAGAAAAGCACTTCCTACGGGAAGGTTTTCCATTACCGGGGCTCAAATAAATTGTTTAAGATATGTGTCTCGTCCTTAGTCATTAAGTAAGTACACGTGCGGTACTTGACAATTTACTCACGATCTTGCACAACTTGCTCACGTTTTTGCTATGCTAAGTCAGTCTTAATACACTCAAGATCGCCAAGAGAATGGTAGAAAGAACACAAGAGAATTGTTAAAGGAAGCTTTGTATTAGAGGGAACTTGAATTATTTCCTTGGTGAATTTACAAATGAATGGTCCCCTTTATATACTAGTCTCCTAGGGGCTAGTGTGTAAATATTAATAGTTACATAAGTCCTTAATATTTACAAGATAAGGGCTTTCTCTAGAATTCTCTACAAGCCTAGAAGATTCCAAGGACTTTCCTAAAAAATAGATAGGGATCTAGGGTCTTCCAAAGGAAAGGTCCATACTTCTCTAGAATCTTCTCACAAATGCTAGCTTTTCCTCCTATATAAGATTTCACATGGCATTAATACATGCCAAATGGCACCTATGTGGCATGATGACACGGCGGGTCATTACACTCTCCCCCACCTAATGTTGCGGCGACCACGGCGCAATGCTGCTGCATAAACTCTCGGATCTTATCTTTGAATTGCCATAAGTCTTCATATCGTTCCCATGTGGCCTCTTCCGGTGATTACCCCTTCCAATGGACGAGGAACATAGCGGTGACTTTTTGCCCTTCGCCTGGACTGGTAATCTATAATAGTCTCAATCTCCCGATCATAAGAGGCGGTGATAGTCATATGCGCTCGACTTGATTGGCCTCTACTCGGATCATCCTTATCTTCATGATATGGATTAAGCATGCTGGCATGGAACACAGGGTAGATCTTAAGATACAATGGCATGTCAAGCTTGTATGAGATCTTGCCTACCTTGGCGACGATCTTAAATGGCCCCTCATACTTGCGAATCAGATTCTGATGCATGCCCCATAGTGCCTTGAACTGTCTTGGGTTAAACTTCACCGTGACCATGTCCCCAACTCTATAGTCCGTGGGATGCCGCTTACGGTCCGCAAACTTCTTCATCTTCTTAGCTTCCCTATCCAAGTAGGACTTAGCAGTGTTGAGCTGCTCCTCCCATCATTTGGCCATATGATAAGCCCCCAAACTCTTTCCCTTGAACGCAGCTGGTAATGAATGTAGAGTTTGTGGCTGTTGGCCTGTAGCTAGCTCAAATGGTGTCCACCCCGTGGACTCACTTTGCTGTAAGTTATAAGAGAATTGGGCGATGTCTAGGAGCCTTGCCCAATCTTTCTGATGCGCGCTTACATAATGCCTCAAGTAGCATTCTAGTAAGACATTGGCCCATTCTGTTTGTCCATCTGTTTGAGGATAGAAACTAGTGGAATATTGCAGTTCCGTGCCAAGTATGTCGAATAACTCTCTCCAAAAGTTCCCAGTAAAACGGGGGTCTCGATCACTGATAGTATGCCTTGGTAAGCCCTAATACTTCACCACGTTCTTAAAGAATAGCTTGGCAGCTTCCTTGGCAGTGCAACGTGGTGAGGCGGGCATGAAGGTGGCATATTTGGAAAATCTATCCACGACCACCATAATAGTACCATAGCCGTCGGGCTTCGGTAGGCAAGTGATAAAGTCCATAGTCACGCTCTCCCATAATGCTTTGCAACTGGTAGTGGATCCAAAAGTCCTTCGGGTTGCTGTTGCTCAACCTTGTCTTGTTAACAGACAAGACAAGTCTCCACATAACACTCTATGTTATCTCGTATGCGTGGCCATCAGTAGACTGACTCAACCAAAGCCATAGTGCGATGTTGGCCTGGATGACCAGCCCACATTGTGTCATGACTCTCCCTTATGATCCTCCGTCTAATGTCTCCAAACTTAAGCACGTAAACTCGCCAACCCGTAGTAAGCAATATGCCGTCTTCTACCCAAAAACGTCTCGCTTGACCTGGTTGGCTAATTCGATAAGTTGTTTGGCTGCTGGATCATGTTTTATGCCTTTTTTATAGCCTCACGAATGTCCCACCTTATTGAAGTGACTACAGCAAGCCCGGATTTTCGGCTCAAGGCATCGGCTACAACGTTACCTTTGCCCGGCTTATACTCCAGCACATAATCAAACTCGGCCAAGAAATCCTGCACCTAGCATGTTTTGGTGTGAGCTTCTTCTAGGTATGAAAGTATCTAGTAGCTACATTGTTGGTCTTGACCACAAACCTCGACCCGAGCAAATAATGTCTCCATGTTCGAAGGCAATACACAATGACAGTCATTTCCTTCTCTTGCACCGTGTAACACCGCTCCGTCTCTGTAACGACCCGACTGGTTGTTTTGCTTTTTAGAATGTCGTTCCCCTAAATAAGACTCCCCGTACTTGCTTTTACTGATTTATGACTTGCGGGGATGGTTGGTTCGGGATTTGAAAGAGTTTGGGTTGAAATCGGAACACTTGGTTCCTTAAGGTTGGCTTAAAAGGCCAAGTTTGACTTCGGTCAACATTTTGAGTAAATGACCTCGGAATCAGGATTTGAAGGTTCCAACAGGTATGTATGATGATTTCGGACTTGGGCGTATATACGGATCGGGTTTTGGATGACCCGGGAGCGTTTTGGCGCCTAATAGTGAAAGTTGATTCTTTAAGGGTTTTGAAGTTCTTTAAATTTGGTTTGGAGCGGGTTATAGTTATATCGAGGTCCGAATGGAATTTCGAGATCGGGAATAGTTCCATAATGTCATTTAAGACTTGGACGCAAAATTTGGTATCATTCTGAGTAGTATAAGTACGTTTCGGCACATTGGAAGTAGATTGAAGAACTTGAAGTTCATAAGTTTGATTCAATTGGCTTTAGGGTGTGATTCTTAGTTTTAATGTTGTTTCGGGTGGTCCGAGGGTTCGATCGAGTCCGTTTTATGATTTCAAACTTGTCGGTATGTTCGGGCGGGGCCTTGGGGGCCCCGAGCGTCAAACGGACGAGGCTCGAACTAAGTTAAAATTTTGAGAAGGAGCTGAAGCTCCAGTTGCTATCATAACCGCACCTACGGTTGGCCAGCTGCAGGTGCGAGCTCACAGGTGTGGTTGAAGCATCGCTGATGCGGCCCAAGGAGAGGAGCCCAAGTTCCGCAGATACGGCTCCTCTTCCGTAGAAGCGGAACCGCAGGAGCGGTCACACGTCTACAGGTGCGGCCACAGCTGGCCGGGCCCATCTCCACAGAAGCGGACAATAGTCCGCAGAAGCGAGACCGCAGATACAGTCAACGCACTGCAGGTGCGGAAATCGCTGAAGGCAGTGGCCTTCATTTAATATGGGAGTTTGTCACTTTTGACTCATTTTCACTCCATTCTTGGGTGATTTGGGAGCTTCAAAAGGGGAGATTTCAACCTAGCTTTGTGAGGTAAGTAATTTCTTCTTAATATGAGCTTAATACATAGTTTATGGGTATATTACAACATGTAAATTAGTGGAAATTACGGGTTTAGAGTAAAACCTAGGGTTTTGATAAAAAATGAGATTTAACCACGAAATATGTTATGGAATGTAGTAGAAATCATATATTCTTGATCCTAAGGTTATGGCTAACAACATTCTTCGAAAATTTTCGGGATTCGGGCACGTGGGTCCGGGGATGAATTTTAGGAACCTTGCATTTAGGGTTGGAAAATTACTTTAATAGTTAGAATATGAACTCTTGAGCATGTATTGACTAGTTCTTACCCAATTTGAATAGTTTTGGATCGTTCGGCTCCAATTTGAGGGTTTGAGCGCATTCTTGAGTTTGGAAGTAAGCTTTGGGGCAAGGTGAGTCTTCTTTCTAACGTTGTAAGAGGGAATTAATCCCATAGGTGAATTAAATAAATGTTTGTACTTATCTGTGGGGCTATGTAAGTACGTGGTGATGAGAGTCCGTACGTAGCTACTATTACGCTAATTGTCCGGGTAGTTTAGGACATGTATCATGCTATACTTGCAATGCTTGCATCCTTACTTGTTACTAAGATTACTTAAGTCATGCTGGAAATTGGTACAACAAATATAGACGGCTATACTCACTTACTTAAGCATTTGTATGAATTACTTGACTGTAAATAGGCAATGTGTTCTTTCTTGAAAATAAATTGTTAATTGTGGATCGCGCCTCGCGCCTCGGTAGTACATAGATGCATCTATGGTTCACGCCATTCGACCCTCTGGCAGTGCACAGTTTAATATATTGTTGGATCGGGCCGTACGGCCTCAGCATAATATGCGCATGTTATTTGTTTGGAACTTCCCGTGATTTATACTGCTTAAATGCTTCGAAACGTAAGTTGTCACATGATATGACTGAAAGTGACATGTTGTTTATGAAAGAATATCTTACTTCTCCCTGTTCGTATACTGTTATTATTATTCATGCTATTCATACTTAGCATAACACTTAATTTATATTATTATTGGCCTTAGTGAGTGTCAAATCGACCCCTTGTCACTACTTCTTCGAGGTTAGACTGAATACTTACTCGGTACATATTGTTTATGAACTCATACTATGCTTCTGTACTTAATTGTGCAGGATCTGAGGCAGGTGCATCTAGCTACCCGTCCGACGCGCATTCCTGATACTTGATCGAGATTTCACGGTGAGCTGCCCCCTTCTGAGCCGTTCAGCAGCATGTCGGGGTCTCTCCTTTTGTATACTGTCTATTCTATTTCAGGCAATAGGATAGTTATATTTTTTGTACATTCTACTAGTTGCCCTCGTACTTGTGATACTAGATCCTGGCACACACATTAGTAGACTATTATTTTAGGTTGTAACAATTATATTCATGATTTCCTCTAGTGGTTCTTGCATTGGTTGCCTTGAAATTTCATTAAGTACTAAATGCTTATACTTAAGTAAAATTTGTGGTTGGAAATTCTTAAATAAAAATGGAAATCACTAGGTTGTTCACAATTGGCTTGTCTAGCGGCGGATGCTGGCCGCCATCATGACCTGATACGGAATTAGGTCGTGACGGTCTCATTTAACTTTCGGCTCTCAAACGCTATGGAATTCTTATCCTGCACCAGGACACCTCCAATGGTAAAGTGTGAGGCATCTGTATGCACCTCAAATATCTTGGCAAAGTTAGGTAATGCCAAGACTGGCTCCTCTGTTACAGCTGCCTTAAGGCCTTCAAACGCCTTTTGATAACGCTCCGTCCAAATCCCTGACTTGTTCTGTTTTAGCAACTCAGTCAATGGTGCGGCCTTGGCTGAGTAGCCACTAATGAATCGATGATAGTAGTTAACAAGGCCAAGGAAGGATCTCAACTCAGTTACCTTTATCGGTGCCTCCCACTCCTGGATAGCACGTACCTTTAGCCTCGTCCATGCGTAGATCACCATTGCTAATGACATGGCCTAAAAAGTGCACTTTTGATTGTGCAAACTCGCATTTCTCCCTCTTGTTGTATAGCTCGTTCTCTCGCAAGACCTGGAAAACCTTCCTTAAGTGCTCCATGTGCTACTCCAAGGTGTTACTGCAGATGACTATGTCATCTAGGTAGACTTCCACAAAATGATTAAGGTAGGGATGGAAAATCTTGTTCATAAGGGTGCAAAATGTGGCCGGTGCATTGGTTAAGCCGAAGGGCATCACCAACCACTCAAAGGCTCCATATCTCGACACACATGTTGTTTTCGGCTCATTCCCTTCTGCAATGTGAACCTGATAGTAGCCTTTGCAAAGGTCCACCTTGGTAAAGTACTTGGCTTGCCAAGTCTATCGAACAAGTCTGCAATGAGCGGGATCGGGTACTTATTCTTCACTGTGACCTTATTAAGTGCTCTGTAGTCTATGTATAAGCGCAGCGACCCATCCTTCTTCTTTTGGAACAATACTGGCGCGCCGAAAGATGCCTTTGATGGGAGAATGTGACCAGCATCTAGCAGTTCTTTCAATTGTTTCCTGAGCTCCCCTAGCTCGGGCGTTGCCATACGATATGAGGCAAATGCGGGTAGCTTAGCCCCTGACTCCAACTCAATCTTGTGATCCACCGCTTGCTAGGCGGCAAGTGCCTAGGAAACTTCTCGGGCATGACATCTTTGTTTTCCTCAAGCAACTTCTCTATGCAAGGTGGCAGTGTCTCTTGAAAACTCTTGTCTTTCTCCACACTTGCAATGGTTGCCACGAACGTCAGCTCCCCCTTCTTTATCCCCTTGAAAACCTGCATAGCTGAGAGTTGTGCTTGGCTCTATTCGTGTGGCATAGTCATTGTAGGTACCATGCAAGATCTTTCTCGCTCCATAACCAAGAGACATTAGAGGTAGGGGTCGATGAAAGTATGACAATGTCTAAAGAACTCTTGCCCCAATATGATGTCAAAGATATCCATTGCGGTTATGGTAAAGTTTGTCACACCTTTCCAAGTTCCCAATTTGACACCAACTCCATTAGCTACCCCACGAGCATTCTGTACCTCGCCATTCACAATCTTGACACGAGAGTTGGTTGGATCAAGCTTCAATTCTGGTCTCTTTGCGGCAGCCTCAGTCACGAAATTATGAGTTGCTACAGTATCCATTGCACGAGCGGGCTTTTTGTTGATGGTGAGATCCACGTACTGATTGCTATTGTCGGTAGGTTGGATAGCTTGCTTCGTGATAGCATAATCCGATCATACCCAACTGTGCGGTTCCCGAACTCTCTTCTTGCGGCTACTCTTTGCGTTTATGGACCATGGCGCTGAGGCTGTTTAGGTCGGGACAGTTCCTGAAGCCGTCGGCCCTTTGCATATGTAGCATCCCTTCTTCTCAGCATGTGCCTTCTTCTCGGCGTAGCCCTGACGGTTACTCGACTTTTTGGAATCTTGAGTCTTGTAGTATTATTGTTGTATCTCCTTGCCTTTGCCACGGTCTCCCACACCTTTGACATTGTTAACCTTTGATTCTTTGCCTTTGCCTTGGTCGTGCTCGTCATGCCTGAAATCCGTCAATGATTCGGCTTCCACTATGGCTTGGTCTATATTCGTGACTTGCCGACGTTGCAACTCCTATTTAGCCCAATTTTGCAACCCGTCCATGAAGTGGAACAGCAAGTCATCATTGGTCAAGTTGGGGATTTGAAGCATAAGGGTAGTGAACTCCTTGACATAGACACGTATGCTCCTTGTTTGCTTCAACTCCCTAAGCTTGCGCCTTGCCTCGTACAAGATATTGTTTGGAAAGAACTATCGCTTGAAATAGACTTTGAACTGATCCCACGTGCTAATAGTACATAGACCTTTATCCACATCGGCCATCTTCCTTCTCCACCATAGTATGGCAGTCTCTGAGAGGTACAACACTGCAGTGTTGATCATGGCCTCGTCGTCCCTCACTTTGCCGTGCCTGAAGTAGTTCTCCAAGTGCCAAAGGAAGTTTTCCACTTCTTGTGCATCACAAACACCTTTGAACACCGGGGGTTTGGGAGCCTAGATCTTGGCCTCCCTCGTCACCACAATATTACTTGCTGCCTCGATCGCGCCAGCATTGACATGCTCCTCGAGTGACTCTATCTTTGTCTTCATAGCATCTATAGTACTCAAAGCCTCCATGAGTCTACACTATAAGGCAGTGATGGTTTGCCTTAGTTCTATCTCGGTCTCTCTATGTCCCTCCAAGTCATTTCGGATACTCTCAATTTCTTCAAGAGTGTGCCCCTCAAGAACTCTAAGGGTGCCTTCCACCTTCCCCAAGTGTTGTCCAAAATCTCCACGGCATCCATCCCCGCTTTCATCTTCATCACCCGCTCTTTACCGAGCGAGACGTCCTCAGGCAGGACCTCCACTTCATCCTCGCTTGCCTCATTGGCAGATGGTTCTTGGGATGTAAACCCTTCGTTTGACACAACCTCGGGTGGCACCTCCTGGCTCTTGTCGGTGGCATTCCTTTTTTTAATCTACGGTCGCTCTTGCCAGCAACATCCTGGATAACGTTGGCTTGGGTGTTGGCAGCGTTAATTTCTCCATCATTTTCCATTCCCTTAGTTGAAACCTTTGCTATGATACCACGTTGTCATGTCCTTAGCCATTAACTAAGTATATGTCACGCCCTAACCTTGGAGAGCGCGACCGATACTCAACCGAGTGGACCCGGTCGAGCAAGCCTGATAGACACTTTCTCCCCAACCCTCTTATGACCAAGAGAAAGCGCGTTTCCATTAGTTTAAATAGTAGAAGGATCATATATTTACAACATTGCTAATTCATTTCATTTTACTACATCATTGTTAAGTTTACAATATTACATACACTTTACAATCTAGCGGAAAAGAGTTCTAAACACACCATAATCAACCTGACCTTTCTAGCACCCATACATAACCCACGTATATGTCTACGGAGCCTCTAACGATACAAAAGATAGTTATGATAATACCGGTAACAAGGCCCCGAATATACCTCAAAACATGGTAAACGTATAAACAAAAGATGCACTACATGACCACGGGATGAAATGGGGCTCACCAAGTCTCTCGGGAAGATGATGATGATGTACCACTAGCTGCGATCAACATTGTCTGCTATGGAACCACCTACATCCATTTAAAGATGTAGCGCCCCCGGCAAAAGGGACGTTACTACTGTCGAATAGTACTAGTATGTAAAGCTAAAACACCACCTTAATAGAATGGACAATGAAACAAAGGGAACAGTCATAATGTACAATAAGAGCTTCAAACAATACTCAAACATCAAGTAAGGATCACATAAATTCTCAAGTCAATTTCCGTCTTATTAGATTGGTAATCTTTAGTGCCATGTGCCACAATCCACAATACCACCGTGTTCTTACACGGAGTCCGATCTCGACCCGATCGGCTAGGTCATCTCATTTGAGAAATCAACCATATCCACAATTTCAATCATCATTTCCAGCACAATTACCACCATGTGTGCGGCATGGCGTCCGATCACGGCCCGATCGGCTAGGCCATCTCACTTGAGACATCATCCTTTCAATCATTCATCTCACTTTACATTTCTTTCCCATCTTTCAATACGTTGGCACGAGTGGCCTCATTTATTAAGTCGTTCTTGGCATTTGGCCATATCTTACAATTCAACTTTCCCTTTTTACACATTCAACATTATTATCATATCAATAGCAACAAGGTCTTTCATTCAAGACTTAATTGCACACGGGAGCAATTTAGATTCTAGAGCACATAGAGGCTTTTCACACAATTTGACATAATAATCTTTATTCGAATTTAACTTGAAGTCTAAGCATCTCTAGCACATATTCCATATCTTTAACACATTCCCAAATGATAAGATAACATGATGAAAGCACAGGAACACATATTGCACCTATATCCTTCAACACAAGCACATTTGGAATAACAAGTTCTATACGATCAATTTGGGACTTACACCGATTTCATGAACACCAATTCAATTCTAAGAATAAGGGGGTTTTATCTATACATACCTCAACTGAGCCTCTTAAAACTTTAAGATGTTCCGAAATTAGCAACTTCAATCTATTTTAGCAATATAGCAAAAATTGAACCCAAAATAGGAGAATGATCATAATTCTAGCTCACTAGAGCATTCTATCAACTATGTGTATTAAGGTTTCATGGCTCTTTTTATGGAAATCTACACCACCCACACCCCATTCTTTTCCATCTTTTTACTCACAACCTCCCCTTATACCTTTAAGAACACATTCATGTAAGGTAAGCACTCCCATCCCCATGAGTTACCTTATTAATGCCACATTCTAGCTACATTTCGAAATTAGGAGATTGGGTGATATAACCTTACCTCTTGTGAAGAAGACCCAGGTGCCTCTTTTGATAATCTTCAACGATTTAGCAAGAATTGATGGATATTAGTGTGAAGGTTGATCTCTTTCTCTCTAAGAGCTCTCTCCCTCACTCTAGAACATCAAAAAATAGCTCAAAATGGTATATAATATGTGTTTTAAACGGAATAGGGTCGGGTTAAAAGATTAGAAAATAGGAGCCCCGACACAGACTGCATAACACTTCTGCGGTCCGCAAATGGGTTGCATACTTGGCCCTCCGGAACTGGAATTTTTTGCCTCGGTCTGCGACCTCGCAGAATGCGCCGCAAAGCTCCCATCCGACAAATCATAAAGTTGGATATGCGATCAAAGCGCGGCCCGCGAAATAGTTTTGCGATCGCATAACGGGCCGCAAAAAGGACATCAAAATTGGCCAAAAAGACTGCCTCACTCTGCGGACATTCTGCGGCTGTATAGTGGGCCGCAGAAATGCCTTTTATGCAAAATTATTTTCCTTTAACTTTTTAATGTACAGTTCAATCCAAAAAAGTGAAAATTTTCAACAATCTCTAATACATAATCCTAACTTCGCACCACGAAATTCCGGGTTT